AAACTATATGGTATATGGGGAAACCGGTTGTACACCTCTCTCTATAGATATTGAAGAGAAAAACTATTGCATTTTGGTCAAGAATATGTAATGTTAATCCAGATACATTGCCAAATAAATTATCTTCAATAGTTTACAAAAATGTAGTTAACATAGCTAAAACATTGGGCAATGAATCATTGAAAAGAAAATATCCTTGGTTTTATAATATTAAGGACATTTTTATCAAATGTGGAATGATACATATATGGACGAACCATCATTTCCCAAACAGTAAATGGCTAAAACTTTCAGTACGACAAAAATTAAAAGATCTGTTTATTAACGAATGGTATGCTAATGTAGAAAACTCTTCTAAGGCTAGCTTCTATAAACTTTTTAAATGCAAATTTGAAAGAGAATCATTTTTATCATTGCCAAAGTCAACAATCCTATATTCATTGATACGATTTCGTACTCGAAACCACCATCTTCCGATAGAAATCGGAAACTGGGCAAGAATTCAATTAAATGATAGACTATGTACGTCATGTAATAAATTAGGCGACGAATTTCATTTCTTATTCGAATGCAAAATCTTTGAAAAATGAGCGTAAACGCTTCTTAAAACCCTATTATTTTAGAAGACCAAATATAATCAAAACATCTGAATTAATGAATACTAACAATAAACAAGAACGTCTCAAATTAGGTAAATTTGTTAAGTGTATACTAAGTAGAATTTAAGGCATTGACCACTATGTAATGATTATAATATAACTTTCTTTTCTCCGAATATCAAAAGTGCTGCAAAGTCTCTGTTTCGTTTTGGGAGACCCAGTGGCACACATTTATAATATCCCGCATTTCAACTAGACCACAGATCTTTGATTTTTCTAAAGGAAAGGTCAGAAGAAGTTGTCTAGTTTAGAAATACTAATCAACTCCACTTTCGTATCTCAATATCTAATGGTATTTATCACTATATGAAAATGTGTTATTTCTTTCTACATTATACAAAAGAACTATTTTTTCCTCTTTGGGCCTATGATATAGCCTTTCGCTAATTAAATATTGTAAGATCGTGTGGGAACTGTGGCCTCCGACACCTTTGTATAGGACTCACCGTGAAGTCGGGGGTACTCCTGTCTCCCGACCGCCATTGGGAAGTCGAGGGACAGGAGTGCACCTGGCACGGCCTGGGGCGCGTTTCATCGCAGGAAGACCTTATTGGAGCTTCCATGCCCCAGGTCGTGCTCTGATTGAGTTCAGGTCCACGATAGAGTAGACGGAGACCCCAGTTCCCGCCGATCAGAAAGTTTTTTCTAGATCATATTCAAATTCACTCTGCATAACTAAACACTTGAATATTACCTAACACTTAAACTAAAGGGAAGTAAATGCAACAATATCTACGTACAAAGCCTTTTTTGTTATCTCCCCTCATCTACTATTCGCATCTCTATACCATAACTTTTTAGACTTCTCCTTTTATACCTTAAAAATGATTCGTATGGTTACTTAAATTTTTGTAGTATATTCATCTACGTTAAAAATATTGATTGTCGTTACGACTATTGAGCAGTAATCGTCAATTTAATACTACACATTGTTGAAATAGAAAGTATACATATATATATATGTGTGTGTGTGTGTGTGTGTGTGTGTGTGTGCGTGTGTGTGTGCGTGCGTGCGTGCGTGTGTGTGCGTGCGCGTGCGTGTGACGAGAAAAAAATGAAAAAAAATACCTTTGAATGTAATACTAGCTTTCTTTATTATTTAATATGTTTTAGTAATATATATACACAACAATTTTGGCTCTCCACGTACCTAAAGACTGGAAGCACAATTCTATTATATTTTTCGCTAGTATGTTAATTAACTGTTATTTGAGCCTCATTATACTTTATTCATGTTTATTACTCCATTATGTCATGTTTGTACATTTCTAGAAAGGTGAGAAAACAAGTTAATAATTAACAGTTTAAAAAAATAAATAATTTCATTTCATAAAGTAACCATGAATTGATTAAATCTGTTTTCCGTTGTGAACTTATCACAATTAGCCAAAAGTGTTACTTTTGATTTTTCGGGTACTGTCTTTATCATGCAATAACTTCATGAAAATTCAATCATTATTTTATAAGTATGGTATCAAAAGGACCGGAATGCATTCGGTTTTATGAATCTGTGAAAAAATACTTAAGGGAAACAAATTTTCCTTGTTAAAATGCAACTATTCCGACCGTGCGTTTTCATTGTCCTTAAGTATAGAAACTATATATTCAACTACTCGGCAGTCAGATTAATTTGTGTAGTATTCGGTAATCGACATCGCTAAAAATAGCATTTTCATTGATTAAAATCATATTCATCCGCGTAATTTGTGAGTGTGCATTTACTGACAATTCTATAAGCCAACGCTACTTTTAAAGTTTGTATGTGTAGTAAATTGTTGGAGACTTGTAACAAAAAATTGTTCTTTCTTTTAAATTGCTGGTTTTTAAGCAGTTTTGAGTGAGAACTAATTTGCGTTGTTAGGTCTGTTAGGAAATTTTGTGCTAGACCGTGGATGTTAGCTATGTATTTGCTGATCTGCGATCAGAAAATACAAAAACAGTTTCTATGGACATATAAGGTTTTTGCCATATACCGCGAAATACAACTTTTGTTTGGTTACTAGGATATGTTTTCATGTGTAAATGGTATAAACTTTAAATGTTTTAACACTTACTTTTTGTTTCAGTTCCATCTGTTACTTTCCTACCAAGTGCGACATTTAGCGTCAAGGGGTTGCAACATTTAGCGGCAATCGATTTTTGTGCGACATATAGCGGCAACGTTGCAACATTTAGCGGTAGGCGATTGTGACATATAGCGTTGATTGCGACATATAGCGTCAGCGTTGCGACATTTAGCGTTACTTGCGACATAAAGCGGCGTTGCGACATATAGCGTTGCTACAGCGTGTTTTGAACTGTTTACAAATATATACAATACCAATCCTGCAGGGTGCTGATCAATATTTTCAGTTTATGATAACTGCTAATAAGAAATCGCACCAGGTAGGTTTTGTTTTTTTATTTTTGAAAAATATAAGAAACAACAACAGAGCACCAAGGATGGTGAAGGGAAAGGCAAATAATTGATGACGTGGTCAGACTATTCTTTATTTGGAGTTCATAATATGGTGTAGGGGAGAAGTTATTAAAAAGGAAGGACTGTTATATATAGCATCATGCTGATTTATTTTAGAACTTAAATTTAAAACTACAATTATAATTTCATACTGCAGTTTATTATTTCATTCGCGAAGAGAATGAAAAATAAAACGTTTGAGTGTTATGGCATGGCTGCAAAATTGGAAATAAGTCACCCAAAATACAACGAAAATAGCTGATATGCTGACACATTTAAATAAATTTCAAAATTTTAAGCACGCTGTCAGTTTTACTTACTATAATAACAAAAACGTTATAAAACCACTCATTATTTTTATAATCATAATCATTATTTTCGGAATGATACTAATAATAATGATGATAGTGATAACAAAATTGACGACAATTTTCATATAAAATCATTGTCACAATTATCATCATCATTATCATCATTAGTAGTATTATTATTATCAAAATGATACAGGTAATGATAATATGAAAGTTTTTTTATGATGCTGATGACAACGATGATAATAATGATAGAATTTATTATAATTATCATTACTAAATAATTATCATTACTGATGCTTCTGCAGCTACTACCTACAATGTTTTTTAGAAAACCAAACTACCTTTTTATATAATGTAAAATGTGTATACATGTACAATTTCATTACATAATTGGAAAATATTTGATTGAAAAATGGAAGGGAATATGTTGGACTATACGAACAATCAGTTTCAATTAATGCAGTCGTTATACTCAGTACACGATATGTTGTATTATTTAGATCAGGTACGAAAAGGTTTGCAAAATCCGGAGACTTGACTTTCAAACAAGATTTTCAGTTCTGATATGCTAGCCGTCCAAAAATTCAACATTTTTAATGAGGATGGCTATTTTACGCAATACAATGGCGTTAAATTAATTTTTGCCATCTGCAGTGTGCATAATAAGACACAAACATAGTTTGTTTACTTTAACCACACAAAGAATTCAGCTTTACAAAATTGCGGTTTTTTTCTAGAAGAAAAAAGCTGTGCATGTTCCGACAAAAGAAAATGGCAATTACAGACAAAGGAAGGTCATCAGGGACAGATACATGTAGAGAATTGACTTTCACACTTATTCTTCCTCTCATAATTACCATATATTTATATTTGTCAATACCATAACGTTATAAAAATAAGAAAAACAACAAACAAGCAAAAGACTTATTGTCTGGTTGTAATGTTTTGTACCGATGACAATGATAAAGACTACAACATCAACTACGATGGCAACTTCTTCTACGGCGAAGACAACCACAAAATTGATATTGGCCATTTTCTGGTCATCAGGTACATTCTTACTTATCATGTAGACTGCGGACAAAAGATGTTTTTTAACTTGACCTTTAATAAGTGACCTCAAATCCATAGCGGTCATTTTCTGCTGCAAATTATGATACTTATTATAATGATATAAATTTAGTAACTAGACATGAGTTCTTCTCTTTTCCATTGAAAACTTCGAACAGGAACATTACTAAATTCCGTCTTTTATCATTTTCTGATCATCGTTGTTGTAATTGGTAACGTATTTAAGACGCTTTTATATTTTTTTTCCTTTTTCCACGTGTCCTATTTTGTTGAAATCGACGTATTTAAATGTTAAATTATTCATTAATACTAACTATAATACTTTCAACTAGAATATCTACATGAATGGTCAAGTGAAACAATGTCTTTAGGAAAATTTAAGAAAGCAGCAAAAATGCGGTAAGAATACATAGCATACATACAATACATGAAGACGATCCGGTATTTGTTCCGGTGTCCACAGTATAAATGTGTGTGTCCAACAAACAGTGTTTTTAGTCGAGTGGAGGACATTGGATTCCAAACATGTATTTTGAAAGTATTGAATTCAAGTATCCGACCAGTACACAGTAAGTCATTTCTCTTTTAAATTTTGTTTGTACTTTATGACACTTGACAGATCAGTAAATTATCGTTACATATTTCCTGCTAATTATTGTCATCTTCCCTCTCAATTTTTAAATTGTATGTTGAATTCAAAAAAACTAGTATCAAAACAGTGCACTTTCAGTACATAAGAATAAAGATTTTCAAGGGCAAACAAAAATGTTCATCTTTAAACATAGATTGCAAAGTAAATCATGGATAACTATTTTGTACAGCGGTGCAACAAGGAAGTGCTTGCTATAAGTCCGCCAGTTTCTGCTGGAACTGATAAATTATTTACACCAATGGATTAAACAGATTATTGATTGTAACAGACGCCACATTCTTGTAAAAATGACAAAATGTTTTTGTTTTGATTATGTTGTTGTTTGTTTGGTGTTTTTATTTAGTTTTTTATTTTTGTCTTTTTTGTTGCTGTTCTATCCCGACACAAACAAAAGCAAGATATAGAATGGAATAATTATCTCGTACACACGGCATTGCATATTATCTCATGCACACGGCTTATTATCTTGTGCATACGACATTGTAACTCATGCGTACGTTTTAGTTATCCCGTGCACACGACTTAACTATATCATGCGCACGACTTAGTAAGTCTGTGATGTGACGAGTTACTTAGTCGTGTGCACAAGATTATTAAGAGTAAACTTGTTCCTTTCGTGTTTTATAACATAAACAATGTTAAAAGGCTTTGTTGGCTTATTTGTGCCATTTCGTAATTTCGCTCCTCAGGCGTCAGAATAAAATACGAAAATACGCTAGGTATATTTTCGTGTTTATATTCAATTTCTTTGCCAGCCAATCACGTAAATGCGACAAAGTCACTACGCGTGACGCCAGATAAAAACACAAAAATATGACAATGTCATCCCTTTGTCGTATCCTCATGTCTTCGCCTGGCGCATCGCCGAGCGAAAGTTCGAGAAAATCGTCTCTTTGTTGAATTTGGCGTGTTTTTGAGCAAAAGTATGTCATGGCACAAATCGGCCACAAAGCCTTTTAATGACATCGTTTATGTCGAAAAACATGAAGGTAACGATTGATGATATATATCTTATATAATAGGTATCAACGCTTTCTTTTTTATGGTTTTATACATCTTCAGGGTGAAATTGACATTTCAATACCCACAATACTAGCTTTTGCATACCTTCACCTATATCATGCAATATATCATGAGAGGTGGATTTCACTTGATATGACACTTTTTATCACTATTTTCATGTAAACTTATCTTGATTCTCAATAAACATTTATCTTTAAACGTTTCTTTCAGTGAGCTTTCCTCGAGACTGACGATGAGGATGAGGTCAGTTACAGGTATCCAAGGCAACAAAATACGTGTGCTGGTAATTGGTGATACCGGTGTGGGTAAATCAATGATGATTAATCAGTTCTCGAAGAAACGATTCATTGAAGACTTTGAGGACAACAATCCCTCCGAGGAAGGAGCAATAGTAGTCGAGTTAATGGAGATCGATGTTAATCTCGTAGCAGCATTAAAAAGGCTGGCAATAAAAACCGCACAAGCCTATATCTTGATGCATTCGTATGACAATCCGCAGTCGTTTGAGTACATAAGAAAAGTCAAGCAAGAAATAGAAGAAATGAAAGGGGTTGGAATGCCGGTAGTCGTGGTCGGAAATAAAATCGACATTTCGCGGAGAATAAATCAACATAGGAGTCAGCATTCTGAAGTTATCAACTGGGGTTTACCTCATACAGATATATCACTGCGTACTGGGATGAATATAGGCGGGGTATACAGACACCTCTTCAGCCATCGCACACTGCAGAGACTGGTGGATGTTGTAGCAGTGATAAATGCATCATCGGTTTCAGCTAGTATACGTAGAATGTCCCTCCCGGCTTTTGAAGCTTTCAGAGTACCGGAAGTAAATGTAACGGAAGCACAGTCCGAGATTTTAACAGAAAATGAAAAACAATCTTCAGATACGTTCCCGTTGCAAAAACAACGTGCATCTACTTGGGCTAAGTTCAAACAGGTCTTTTCTGGAGCGAAAGTACGAAAATAATTACAAAAGAACCATTTCTTTTAATCGGGAATGTAATTTTCAAACGGGGACTGGTAAAAAAAATGACACTCACCAAATCAATATTGCTTGATCACATTTTGTTATTCTAGTTTCTTTAGCCTGTTTTTATGCTTGCCGAGTTCATATAGAAAAACAGTTTAACGATAATTAGATTACAATTAAAAGTGGTCTTTTCTTATTAAATGTTCATTACTAAAATTGTATATATTATATATGTTAAATAGATAAATAGTCGCCCCGCGGTGGCGCGGAGCAAGATTTAAGAAATAAAACGGCAGGGGCACGGAGCTAAAACACGCTTATTTAGCGCCCTTCTAATGAGCGTGTTTTCGCTCCGCGCCCCCGCCATTTAAACTTTTTAATTCTCGACTTTTTGCTTGGCGGGTACGCGGAACGAAAACACGCTAATTAGCGGGGCGCGGGCGCAGTTTTATTGATTAAACTTCGCCCCTCGCTCCCACTTATAAGCGTGTTTTCGCTCCGCGCCCCGCCGTTTTATTTCTTAAATCTCGCTCCGCGTCTACTCGGGGAGATTATTTATTTATTAAACATCGCCCCGCTCCCCTCGCTAATAAGCGGGTTTTCGCTCTGCGCCCCGCCATTTTAACTTGTTTGTTCTCGACTTTACGCTTAGCGGGATCGCGGGACAAAAACACGCTCATAAGCAGGGAAACGGGGAAAAGTTTTATTTATTTATTTAACTTCGCACCTCGCCCCCGCGTGTTTTTGGCATGCGACCCCGCCGTTGAATTTCTTAAAGCTCGCTCCGCTCCCCCGCGGGACAACTATTTTCGCCCCGCGCCCTCGCAAATAAGTGTGTTTTCGCTCTGACCCATCGCCATTTTTACTTGTTAATTCTCGACTTTTCGCTTGGCGGGGTCGAAACCACGAGTGGCACAAATCAGTCACCATGTTTTAAGTGATTTACTTTGTCAGTTATTGAGAAAGTGACCTTTGAAACAAAACAATTTAGAAAAGAGGCATTACATTACTTTGGAAAAATTGATTTAAAGATTATCTGTCCTCTTAAATGGTGACATATTTTCAATATGAACATGTAATTCAAGTTTGAAATAAATAACTTTGATAGTTTATTATGAAAAGGTTAACCAGGACTAAAATTTCAAGTTAAAAAGGGGGCTTATTTTTTCATAAAATAATTTCAAGATTATCTGTCCTTTTGAACTTGTGTCCTCATAAACTTTTATGCCAAGTTTGAAATCAACAGCTCTTATACTTTGAGAAAATGGCCTTTAACAACGCTGAGGAAGGGAAGGGACATAAATATAAAACCTGGGCCAGTTAGATTTTATTATCTATACCAAGTTAGGTTTGGTTATGGTTGGAATGCCAAAAGAATTGGTATTTTTATTTCATTATTAATTTTTATTTATTTTGTGTGTGTGTGTGTGTGCGTGCGTGCGTGCGAGCGAGCGAGCAAGCGTGCGTGCGTGTGTGTGTGATGGTGCGTGTTTGTGTGTGTGTGGTTTTATTGGGGAGGATCTCTGTAGTTTTGTTGTTGTTTTTCAGAAAAGCTTAAAGTTTACTCTTTAACAAATATTTGAAATTAAACATATAACGTAGTTAAAATGTGGTATGCTCTATGATACTATGTCAAATTTAATCTGAAAATCTTTCACTTGAATATAATTAATGCATTGTATATTGTTAAATTTATACACTTTTTATTGACAATTTGTTTTCCTTTTCTTTGTAGGTAGTGAAAAATAAATTGGGAGTTATTTGAACACATTTTTCTTTATTTCATTTCTAAATATCTATGATTATTTTTTTCTACAAATATCCGTGCAATTTTGCAAAACAATTACAGCCGTTTCATAAGCAAGTGTAACGTTTTTAGATTATTAACACAAAGTCCACAAAAACCGTCGAACGGATGATGCTCCCTGAATAGGTTTTAGACACAAAGAAGAAGTTTCTTGTTGTTATCTCTCGTACTTTCATAGTTGTGTCCCAAACAAAGTTCAAAGTGTAAAAATAAAAAATGACAATAACACCAGAATTAGGCAAATCAGAGATTTTATGCACTGCATTTCTACTAAATGAGATCTATCTTTCTATCTACTAAGTTTCTTGTTGATACCTCTTGTAAAATGGCATTACTTTGCATGAGTATACATTCTTCGACAACCATCAAGAACTGCTTTATATCTCAGACAAATAGTTTTTCTGTAGATGTATTGCCAATGCTCTTTTATGACACCTTTAAGTTAGGGCATGGCCGGGTACTTTATTTGAACCCGAATATCCCATCTCTAATTACCCGCGAGCTCTCTCATGGTACTCTCATTTGAAGACAAATATACGATCAAAGTACGCTTCAATTTTCACAAAACGGCTAAAGAAGAGACAAACAATCGAGTTCATTGCCTTATGTCCGTGCCCATGACAACCGTACCTGTTGCAGCAAGTGAAAGACAAACCTACTGCAAAAGCAAAACATTTCTCTCCTGATTACACACGGTCCGTCTTCAACACTGACAAAATTAACAAAGACTCAATCAACATCAGTAAGATAATTAATATATAAATCTACATTTGACATGACATGTTTTACTTTTAAGCTTCAAGCTGTTTCGTGTCTCAGTCCTTGCATCTGTTTATATTTCAAAACAGGAATACATGTACTATATTCTTCATTATTCAATGTTATTCCACCGTTGTACCAGTTATCGTTCTACCAATGCAAATTAATGGAATAATTCTAAAAAGAACCTCGATTTTAACTAAATTCTATATTTTTTCTGCTTTCTAAGATAAGTTTCATTTTGTGATTATGTGACCTATTTATAAACGGATAAAGAAACATTATACAGAAAGATATTATTATAAAAGCCCTTGCATTTCTTGAGTTAATGTCAACTAAAACATAAATGTTTTCAACAAATTAGCTTGTGTTCAGATTCAACGAAATGTCGTAGTTTGCAACGGTGTAATATATTGTAGTGTAAAAATCATTTTTGTCATCAGAAGTGTTCAGTGAGTAATGTGGGTAACTAAGCGGTATGTCGTCAAACAGTAAGTTCTGCTGTGTAAGATGCCCTTAGTGAGTAATGTCCACTGTGTAACATGTCCGCAAGGAGTAATGTCCACAAACTAGATAAATAAAAAGTACCTTTCAAATAATTTGTTTTAGGTCGTTTATGCATAATGTCTTTTTTATATGTTGATCTTAGTAAGTAAGCTTTATTTTGAGATAACGGAATTAGATTAGAAATATATGCTGGCGTTAATTTATTCATCACTTTATATACCATAATTCCAGAAAAGTATTTACATCTAGATAGAAAAGATAACCATTTCATATTTTGAAACATTTCAAGAGAATTTGTTTTTACGGGTTTATTTAAAATAATCCTGGCGATTCTTTTTTGTAATTTTGCTATTCTATTTAGATCTAATTTGTTACATTTGGACCAAATATTACATACATGTAAGCGTTATAAAATAATTGTTTCATTTCAGGTGTAAGAAATATTGAATTCTTTTCAGCAGAGATATTTTAGAAGCAAGCTTTAGCTTAGAACACGTTTTGTAAATATGTGTTTTCCAAGATAGACAGTTATCAATAAGCAAGTAGCTTTTGACAATGAACATTATTTATACTCGAATTCTCTATATACAGAGAAAGATTGCCTTTGTTATTTAATTTCCATTTTGATCCAATTATCATGCACGTTGTCTTTATTGGATTAATGACCATGTTATTGAGAGTGCACCATTCCTGTATTTTTAATAAGTCTAGCTGCAACTAAGACTTTATATTACTGAAACTTTGGTCAGCTATGCGTAATGTTGAATCGTCTGCACACATATCAAATGTCTGAATTCGTAGTGACTGATATATCATTTACATATAAAAGAAACAGTATAGGACCTAAGTTTGAGCCCTGTGGCACACCTGATATAACCGGTAAGCTTTCAGATTTATCATTGTTGACTTTTACAATTTGCTCTCTGTTAGAGAGATATGACTGGAAAAATTGTACAGAGTTTCCAGAAAAATGATAAAGTTTTAATTTATGAATCAGTATATTATGGTCAACTAAATCAAAGGCTTTTTTTAAATCTAAAAATACAGCACCTATAATATCTCCATCATCAATATTGCGTAAATAATTCTGAAAAACAAAGTGATCCCTCGGAAGCATTAATCACAACAATATTACAAGAGAATTACAGACTCGGTTTGATTGAGTCTGTACATGAGGGATAATGAATAAGTGCAATATCCCTCACGCCCCCTAGCACCGACTTGAGCGGTATTCAATTCTCAACACTAAATAGTGCTGTCATCAATGTTCCCGAAGGACCAGAAAGCCACTCATCTGTAAGGCGGATCAAAGCTGGTGTTCATTAATGATATTGGTATAATGAAGATAATTATTTATCTGATTTGCAACATGCCTTTCAAGTATTTTTTGAAATGTTTGGGAGAATAGATATTGGCCTATAATTATTGGGGTTTGACTTGCCCCCCCCCCCCCCCCCCCCCTTGTGTAAAGGTATAACACGTGCTAGTTGTTTCAATTTATCTGGGAATATACCTAGTGAAATACTCTTATTCATAATTGAAGTTACTGCTCTCGTTATAGAGTCTTCACATTGTTTTAACATATTAGGACCAATTCCATCAATGCCAGAGGATTTATTTTTATCAAGGTTGTCAATATATCTGCTTACTTCAAATGTGGTTATGAAATCAATTTCAAATTGCTTAGGTTTAAGTTTATGATCTAGAAAATCTTCTAAATACGAAAAATTGTTAACATTAAAATTAGATTTCTTAATTAGTTTTGAAATTTCTGTAAAATGTTCATTTAAGGCATTTGCAACATTCACATTTCCTTCAAATAGAACATCATTAATGTTTAAAGTGATTGGTAAAGACGGTTGCTGCTTATTTTCGTTTGATATGTCTTCTACATTTTGTCATAAATATTTACAATCTCTCGAATCTTTAACTGCCTTGTTAAAGAGCCCCTTCTTGCTCTTTTTAATAACAGCCTGGCATCTATTTCTCCATGACTTATAATTAATCTAGTCTTTACACCTTTAATAGTGATCCCTTTTATCGCGGGCCTCTTAAATTTCGTCAGAATACCAATCTGGTTGTTTAGTCCTTTTAATACGCTTTACCTTTTCAGGCGCATGTTTGTTAAATAATGCGTCAATCATATTGTAAAGAACATCAAG